ATTTCAACCTTATACGACTACTCGCTGTACAATACTCTAGTAGACCCGTTACACTAATAAGGTAATTAAATACAAAGTAGGTAGTATTCTTAAATTGAAATTAATAATTAAATAGAATAAGGGCACTCGAGAAATATTTATAGAATTATATAGCCTTCGGCCGTTAATTATTCGAAGTTATAAATTAAAATTACTACCTAACGGAAGGATTAGTAAAACGGAGCCTTATTACTTAGGTAGCCCTCTTCTAATTAGGAGGAGTATTATTTTTAAATAGTAGAGGATTATTACTAATAAATATCTAAATTCTTTGAGTATATATAAGGTATATAGTAATTTTTACCCTTATTGGGTATATAAGTATTATAGTCCTCTAGTACTATAGTAATGTGCCCTATAAATATAAGTGGGGCGCGTACCCAAATTCTTTGCATTTATTAGGTCCTAGTATTTATTAATACTAGAATATAAGGCTTATTAAAAGGGTTAGAACTATTAATTTACCTATACTAATATACACTTTCTGTCCTATTATCAAGGTCCCCCATTCTTTTGAGTAAAGAAATCTATAATATTCTTTTAAATAAGGGTGTTATTGAGGTGCTTCTCGAGCTTAATTTTTATTTTACATAACCTCTACACATCTTTAAAGCTAGCAATTTTATAATTAGCTGCCTATACTAGTAGATCTTTTAAATGTATAACTACTTACTTACTAGTAATAACGGTTGGCGGTTGCTCTTGAAAAGCAAAGTCGTCCTTATTATCTTTAGGGGTTTTAGAGTTTTTAATAGTATTTTACTAGTCTAATATTATATACTAAAGTAATTCCTCAACTATTATTAGCTCATTTAGTATATTATTTTTGTTAGTTGGGTTGAGAAAGTTCGAGAGGGATATTCGGTTATTTTAGTAGATGTAATTGATTGCCCTATTGTAGAGGGTAGTTATATTAGTTAGAATATCTTTTACTACGCCTTTGAATATCGGTTTATAGCCTACTAGTATAGACTTTTTCTAGTAATTAATAATAGTCTGAGTCTTTATTTTACTATACTAGACGTATAAGACTTAGTTGAAGCAGATCTAAAGGTTTATTAAATTTACTAAATTAAATAAAGATTGATCTATTTTATTCACTATCTACCTTAAAAAGTAATATTAATAATACGCTTTGAAAGTATTGATAATTCTTTAATTTATAAGCTGCTAAAGGGAGGTATAATTAGGAGGAATAAACTATAAGTAATATTTAGTAGCGGCGGTGTTGCTTGGAGAGTAACTTTATAAGTAGGATAATTATTAAAGATAAGGAGCATTCGTTGCCCGGGCTTTTTAGTAGCAATATAGGGATGGAAGGATTGGAACTATTCTTTTATAATTATCCCTATTATTTACGCCTTCTTATTACTATATTAAATTATATAAGTAGTATTGAAATTGTATCCCCTTAATGTATAGGGCACTTTGGCGTAGCTAATAGCCCAAACTTTAAAAAAGCTATTACTAGTATTATTAATTGTAAGAATTAGTAAGATTCGACTTTTATCCTTCTTAATACCCGGCTTTTGAAATAATGAGAGTATTAAATAAGGGGCGCGCTACTAATAGAAACTCGTTTTATTTATATTATAACGGTTGCTGATAGGAAACTCTTTTAAGAGATTTTTAAAACGGTTTATTTTAATTAGAATATTACTATCGGTCTTTAGGGTAGAGGTAGCTTTATTATAAAAGTTTCACTTATAGATTTAGTATTACTTTTTAAATAAGCGGTACTATTTGACCCCGAAGGTAGGTACTATATTTGGGTTAGTAGGGATATTATTACAGGTTTTAAGGTATTGGAATTATATTTACCTTACTTTCTCCTATAAAAGTTTGACTGTAGTACTTAGATTGCGAGTTTCTAGCCCTAACTACTAACGAAAGAGTAGTATTTCAAAGATTGGCTAATTGTTATTTTTTAAGCGAGTCTTCTTAAAATACTGTAAGGAGGGATCGACATTTGCGAGATAGGCGGGGTTTTTATTCTTATTGAAATAGTAAGATATTATATAGTTTGGTAGTAATACGTTCTACTTTCTTTAAATCTATTAAATTAACTAAATAAGAGTTTGGTAGTGAAGCTAGTTGTTTGCCTATTTTTGGAATTTAAGACGCTATTCCTAGGTTAGGGCGTTGTAATATTGGGTAGTTATAGTGAATATTATTTCGTAGAGGAATTTAATTACTAATAAAATATATAGGGTTGACGGTCGTTTATAAATAGAAGGGGTAAAATGAAGGGATGTATTGGTAGTTTATAAGAGTAAAAGAGTAAAGGGGGAAAGGATGAGGGGAATCCTCTAGAAACTAAGCAGCTGCCCGGGCTAGTTGGAGGGTTTTTAGTACCCCTAATAATTCTAATAGGGGGTGTTAGGTACCCCTAATACCCCCTATTAGCTCCCTCGAGGGGTCCTTGGCAGTTACAAATTTATATAGCGGGCCGGCTAACGGTTAGCACTTAGCAGCTAGTAGGTATACTATACTAAAATAATCCGTATAGTAAAATTTCTAGCAATTATTGGGTATTTGTATTTATTAGGTCTAGCATTTACAGGGCACATTACTATATATACTAGGAGTATTAGGTAAATATAATACCTTCGATAGGCACTTTAGTAAATTTGCGGATTTTACTACTATTGTTACTATTTGGAGTTTAGGGCATTAGAGAATGTAGTATAGTAAGAATAGGAATAAGCGTAGGAGTAGGGACTAAAGTAGCCGTTAGAGTAGTAATAATAGTAAATATAGGTATAGGCGTAGGCGTAGGAGTAATTATAGGCGCGACTACGGGCACTATAGCCGGGCAATAACGAATTAGAATAGTAGGCCGGAGTCTGAAAGGATTTTATTTAGAATTAATATTAAGAATAAAAGTTAATAACGGTTATTTAAAAGTATTTTAAAGTAGAATTAAAGGTATACGTACAATATAATTGTAATTATTCGTTAAAGGAGTAAAAGGGAGAGTAAAAACTATAGAAGAGTGAAATAGGGGTAATGTAAATAGTAATTGTAGCATGTGATTGTAATTGAAAAAAAGAAGGGGGGGGCTAATATTATAGAATTGGCGCCCAATAAGGCATTTAGCTCTAACTAGCTAGACTTAAATACCAAAATAGCAACCTATATTAAGACTGCTCTAATCGATTCAGACTACGGTACTACAGCGCCCCGGGCTTCTAGAGTATTCTCTTACCACTTTAGGCTATAAGGTACTACTAAAGTGTACGGCTATTTAAACTCTAGCACTCAATCTACTCAGAGGGTAGCATTTTCTCCTTTCTTTCTTCGTAGAACCTTAATATATATATAGTGGCCAGCACCCGCGTATCGCTCTACTGTTCTCTTACAAGCAAATAGTTTATATTAATTAAATTCTTTAGTAGAGACTATAAATAACTTGGACTTATATACCTAAATACTATTTATAATACTATTAATTCTTATTTAATTGGAATACCCTTAGAGGGGGGCTAGCCTTCTTATAATTAAGCTAGCGCCTAATTGTAAGCTATTATTTCTAAACCTATTGTAACTTTTAAATACTCAAAGTAGGTATGTGGACGTAGCCGCGCTTAGTATAAGGAGTGTATAAGGGGACTACTATTTATATAACGCTCCGTTACAAACTTAGACTGGGTATAGTGGCCCGTTAAGGGCCGAGTTAAAAGGTATCCTAATTAAATAAGAATTCGCAATATATATATTAACCTTTAAAAGTTAATTAGCGCAGTTCTTATAATAGGGGTTTATATAGTCTTAATTCTCAAACTTACTTAACCTTTAAAACCCACTCTACCCCCAGCCCCACCCCTAACCCTACCCTCTATTTTTGTAATAGTAAGTCTGAGCCTATTTTACGCTTTTTAACTATTAGTTATAGAAGAATAACCAAGTATTATTGTATATTATAAATCCAGGGAAATTCATATAAATTAATAAGAGTCACTCCTATATAGAACTCTCCATTCTAATTCTTATAGTAGTCTTAGTTTTTTTATATAACTAATAATCGTCGAAATGCAAGGCTTTAAACTTTAAAGATTTTACCCCCTCAAAGCTACCTTATTTTAACAGGTAGTCTATACTTTATGAAAATAATACTATTGGAACCGCCTTGTCGAGGCCATCCTTACTATATTTTATCTTTATTTATTATATGAGTAGGGAAATTAGGAGAAAAAAACTGGAAGAAGAAAAATAAAATACTACCCCCTCAAAGTTGCATTACCTCAACGGATAGTCCGAGTGTTATAGAAATAGTACTATTGGAATCGTCTCATTAAGACTATCCTCAGCATATATTTCTCATAACTATACAATTTTAAATAAGGTTAAAATTAAGGAGTGTCCAAAACCTTAAAAGCAACTATAACTGACAAAGGTTTACCTTTGAAGTTATATTACTATAATAGGTGGTTTGAGCTTTATAAAAATTATATATTTAAAAAGAGTCTAAAAGGACTATCCTCCGAGTAGTCTGTTCTTACTTTTACTATTTTTCTTTATTTTATTATTAAGGAATATATAAAAATCAAATCCGGACTTTATATAGGAGTTTCTGCAGCCGACGGCGTTTTTGTACAAAATAGTAATAGACCTCCTCTCACAAAAGTTCGAGGAGGGGAGACCGACATAATTGTAGGGCGGGTCCGCTGAAGGTTGTCGTCGGGGGTCGTGTAATAGAGACTAGGGTTTGCGAGACTTTACAGAAAAATAACAGGACAACGACATTCAAAGCGGAAAATTGGATAAAGTGTATAAACTATTCAAAACGCAACTGGTTGATACCAACTTCTTGCATCACAAAAGGTGAAATATTCGCTGAGTTGCGAAGAGTGCGTAGTAAAGCCCTGCGCTAACGAACTTTCAAGGGGTGATGTGTACTGGACTGGCTGGAGACATCAATGAAGACACGCACACGACGGCGAGGAATGCTACAGCACACCAATTTAACGACAGATGTCTGTATTTCGCTTTACAATCGTGTTCTATATGTACTGCGTCATCACAACATGAGCCTAATGCGTATCAGAGCTCATTGTGCTCCTGGACATCATCAGTGTCGGCGACAACTGTCTTGACGGCTTCGGCAGCTCCGCTGACCACGCTAGCCACCTTCTCGACAACATTGGCAGAAGCCTCCTCAGCCTTCTCCTCGACCTTCTCAGTAGCGTCCGCAATCTTTCCTCCAGCCTTGTCGGTAGCCTCAGCAACCTTTTCTTCAACCGCCGAAGCAGCCTCCTCAGCTTTCTCGGCAGCCTGTTTGTAGACGATGGATTCGGGCTTGGGGACACCGTCAATACCAATCAGCTCGGTCTTGAAAATTAGGGTGGAACCGGCCGGGATGGGACCGATGGAGCGCTGGCCGTAGCCGTAACTGGGAGGAACCGTCAATGTCCGCTTCTCGCCAATGCACATGTCAACGAGGCCTTCGTCCCATCTATCGAATCGAATGGTTAGCACCGCAATGTTTCCGGGCCGTGCAGCGAGAAAGTGTCAACCAACCCCTTGATAACCTGACCACCGCCGAGCTTGAAGCTGAAGGGTGTCCCGCGGTCATAGCCTGGAGCAGTCACGGGTGTTAGCATTGCATGGAGCGCAGAGTAAAGTTACGACCAGGTGGCAGGGTGACTTGCTAGCATCAAACTGCTGGCCATTGGATTGGAGGGTGCCGCGATAATGGACATTGATCTTGTCGCCCTTGCGAGTCTTGCGATCGCACTCTACAGGAACGGTAACGTCGATGCCCAGCTCCTCGGCGGCCAGGACGCCAACGGTGGCGGAGGCTAGTAGCGACAGCGACAGGAAAATTGACTTCATGCTTATAGCCTGCAGTGACCTCGATATGGCGTTTGAGGGGTGCGTAGCTGTGAAAGATTAGGATGATGTTGAAATGTGGATTGCGGGCTCTTAAAGGTTGAGTAGTTGAACACCTGGCAGCTCTTCTCTCAGCCAGTGAGCTACAACAGGCTAGCATGGAAGGGAAGTTGAAGCCAAGCAGCTGTGTACGTACAAGCACTGTAGAGCGAGGTACGTACCAAGTTATACCTCGCGGCAGGCTAGTAGTGGAGTTATGACGACATGTCCAGCACCTTACACTAGATACTTAGTATGGAAGCTACCTGTGCCCCGTGCCTACTTTCTTGAGACGTGCTAACCTTATATTTTCTAAGACAAACTCTATTCGCACCGCTATTAATCTCTTTAGACACTACCGCCCTACACTTTCTACCCTCTCAACTAATTAAAATTAATGTATCCTCTAACTCCTACTTCTAGCCCCACTACATACCAAACCTTCAAGTACCTTGATATAGAAATTACTAGAGGTACGCCCAATATTAAATCTCTAATAGTGTACTCTCCCAATAGTATATTCATTCCCTAGAATTATACTTTCACTAACAGTAATTGAGATACTTTATGATTAAGATGGCGATTGACATGGCGATTGAATATAATGTAATTGAATATAATACAAATAGTTATTAGGAGAGCGAATATGTAGTTGGGAGAATGAATATATTATTAGGAGAGCAAATATACTATTAAGGGAAGTAAATACGCTAATGCGTGTAACGGGTCTGCTAGAGTATTGTACAGCGAGCAGTCGTGTGTGGTTGAAATGCTATATTTAATAAAGGGAGCAAAGGAAGACTACACTAGAAAGGTGTAGTTGAAAGAAGGTTTTATAGTCGGGCGTACGGGCTAGGCAAACATGTGGACCCGACCAATTAGGAGGCTCGCATCCTTATCGATACGACCCATCCCGTCTTAGCAGACTTGGCAAAGCCGAGTCTTTGATCCTAGGCGCTAGCCTTATAATATTGAGGGGAGCGAATACATTGTTAGAGGGAGCGAATATACTATTGGGAGAAGTGAATGCGCTGTCAGGGTTTTGAGTGCAAGTTCAGCAATAAAAGGTATATAGGTAGGTGGGACGGCGGTGTCTAAAGAGATTAATAGTGGTGCAAATAGAGTTTCTCTTCTCTAAAGTAAATATATAATATTAAATTAATAGAACAAGTAAAAGACTTATTAATATACAAGATAAAGGTATATATAAAATTCCTTAAGATGTGAAAAGTAATGGAATATTACTGACAAAAAATTGTAAAAAAAAAAACTAAACTGTATAAATAATAGGTACTAATTCGCTTAATATATGAAGTTTTATATTTACATTGTCAAGTGTATAAGATGTATTTATATCATAGATTAAACTTCTAACTGCTCAGGCTATCGAAAGACAAAGAGACAAGACTGAGGTGTTGGTCGAGGAAGCCCGGCATTCTGCCTCGTCACTGTGCTTCACCTACCTACTATCTACTAGCCGGCATTGCCTCGTCTCACCGAGAAATCGCAATATCCGCCTTTCCACTTCATACCTCGACACAATACCCTCGCTGCTTTCACAGGAGGACCAGTGTCCCCTCAGTCGGTCTGTCCTACCAAGGCAGCAAAGCCTAGTCTAAAGGCATTTGGCCTACAGCCTCAGAGGACAACCACGAGAACTCATGACTCATGTCACCAGCATCTCCAACATACAAGGCAACCCAGGCAGCAGTCTGGACATTGATCACCACTTGGCTTGTAAGGCCTAGGTGAGGCTTTTAGTTACGATCTACAAGCTGCGGTGCCTGAGGAGCGACGCATAATGGTGAGCGGTAGCTACATACCGTGATATCACTTCATGCCTCCTCTAGTAAGCTTTCCCGTCTTCCGTGTTGCTCGGTCTTTGATAACTGAAATACGGCAGGTACTTATGTCGCCCAGAGCCAAACTCCCGAATGCCTGACCATGGGCCGTATTGTTATGCAGTCCTTGATCACCTCATTGTGACTTTGCTGTCACCACCGTGCTATGCTGGAAATGAGGCTTGGTGACCACCGGCTACGCCATCTAGTTCTGCCTACTCCGTCCTCTCTCCTCGACTTCAATCTCCAAGCGGCCGGATTGAGTCATGCTGTTTCGTTCTTTGGCGCTTCCTAGCTGTCTTGTGGAGAGAGCGATGGAAGGAATGAAGGCCAGTGCCTACCATTCCGCCTAAACCCCAACGAAGTGTTTCTACATACACCTGGTCCGTTGACAAAGCAATGCGCAATCTGCTTCGTTTTATCTGATCAACTCCGGATGGCCAACTTGCACTCGAAAAACCAAGCTCTATATAACCAGATCTATCCACTGCCGTCCTTACCAGATCCGATCTCTTCCTTTGTCTCGAGAAGCAAGTTCTTTTGAGCCTCTACAAGTTGATCAGTATCTTCCCAGCAAGTCTTCTTTTCCTCTTTAAACCACCAAAGTACGCCAAAGTACCTTTCTGTCCGACGACCGAAATGGGCGGCAACCAAGAGACATATATTAGTAATAGCGGGAGCCGGCCCCCCTACTACAATCCACGCACTACATCACCATCATCGAGCAGTAACTCAAGGTCCTCAGCCAATTCTGTTTTTTACAGGTCAGGCACTGCAGGTATGTGTACTTTCACCCTTCAGTTGGTATCATAGATAACAAGTGCTAACTTCGGATCAGATAATCACAATGTTACCACTCAAAAAAAGAGCGACGTTATTGTTATCAATCACCACCAGCCGAATCCAGCCAAGGACGAGCCTCGATCGTCAGACTATTATAGAAGATAACAGCAGTGCGGATACATCCGTGTCTATTTCTTTCTATGGATTACCACTTGGTGTCCATGTCTCAGTATCCAGGAAATTGTACGATATCGTTCTGTAGCATTACCAGACGTGGGATTACTTTTGGGTTGTGATCTTTCATAATGTTGACTGAAGTTTCCTCGTTATGGCAGGAGTTAGTGTAGAGTATTGGATAAATGAACGAAGACGGTCAGTTACTTAAAGTTAGGTCGGTCTCCTGGTAGAAAATAAATTTCTTGCATCTATAAGTTGTTTCTGCGCTGCCCCAAACAATGCGTATTGCACTTGTATGAATTCTCACACTCCTGCTTTCTGGTTAATGTGCTACGTTGCATTGCGTGTTGCACATCTCCCGAGCCTCAAAGTCCTAGCATTGCGGAAGAAGTGATGGGAGCTACATGAGGAATTCGCTCAGGCTTGACATAACTTGAGGAGGTATGCTGCGGAACTGACGTTCACAATCATCCAAGCCAAGTATATAAAGCATCTGGAATAGAGACGCGTAACGCTGCACAGCGAGATGATCAAGAGTGCATATACTGAGAGTCGCTTCAAAACTGTATAGAATTGACCTGGAACGTCCTGTCTTATGTATTAGCTATGCTGAGTGGAGTTCATCCCTTTGCCATCAGTGGTGGCACTCACCGCACTCAAACTGTTACTACTGGTAGTTGATTGGTATCAGTCTGTTCTCCAGCCCAGACGGTAAGAGTGTTGGAGGTTCGACTCAGATGCAGGTAGACTTGCGCGATGGACTTGATGCTGATCAGCTGCTTGATTGATTGATAGATCTCTTAAGTTTGGATGTCCGGTCTGCTCTAGAGTCCCGAGTCCGACAAGGGTCGGACCTAGCAGGGTCCCTCCTGCCTGACATGACAGGTCAGGGTGAACACGACCTCTTAGCAAAAAATAGGTATATGTGTTTGTTCAAACTACTGCCTCTGAGGATGTGGGTAGTAGAATCAATGTTTTGATCACCTTCTAGCTATGCGTCATCCCATTCTCGAAGCGACTGTTGGATTGTGGCGTCGTTGATGTTAATCAAGCACTGCTTCCTCTTTTCATATGTTCTTCCTTAATAGCATCCTGGTACTTTTTGTCAAGGCGAGCGGGGGTCTTCATGAAGGACCCCTTCTTTGATCAATGCTTCTGGGGAGGGCCGGTGGGCGATTCTTTCGTTCAAAGAATCAGCACGCATATGCTTTTCGAGCTGGGACCGGGGCAAGTTAGGATGTCAGCACAGTCCGAAAAAGCCAACCTTGATATGACAGCATTACCTCTTTCTGTTGTGCTATGAGCCCCGGAGCTGCGTTTGAGGCAGGAAGAATGTTTTCTGAATAAGGACCATTTGTGTAGATTAGTACATCTTGTTCGAAATACGTGCAACTATGCGTTCCGTTGCAAGGACTCGAAGCAAAACATCATACTTTTGACCAGTTCCTGGCGCACCGGACGACGTTTCAGGTGCTGTTCGAGAGAGTTCTTGCGCTGAGGGTCGGGACGGCTAGGAGAGATAGGAGTCTCGTCGATAGCAGGAGCCGGGTTGACATTGTCGCTCGAGTCGGCCATGATGTCGACTATATAGTCACCTTCAAGGGTTGGAAGTCGATTGTCTGTGGCCGTTGTATCTTTCAAATATCATTTTCTGCACGTAGTAGAACGAAAGCGCCAAAGTCCGGCTTGACCCATGAATGACGATGGAAAACGGCTTTATATAGCATGGCGGCCCGCCTACATGACCTTCAAAACAGCTGATGCTTTTGGTTACAGCAAGCTAGTTCCTCGCTTCCACGGAGCCAATCTGTCTTCGTCTCCCACATGGATCGCGGCACGTAGACAACCAATACGGTGTCATTTACCGGCCTTGGCTTAGTGTTGTACACGATTGAATCTTCCAGGTCGCTCGCTGTCACCTGCACTGTGCCTAGCGAAGTAACAGCCTGAGCTACTTCACCCCGCACCTGCAATGAATCCTCGATACGTGCACACGGAGCACGGTACTGCTTGATAGGTACTCCCTACCTGCATTACGGACGTGTACAGTAGTCCAAACGCACGACCTGGAGGGGGGGCCAACGTGCTCGATTGTTTTTTGTTCCGCTACTCAAAATGCGCAGTGGCTCCAGCCCGGTAATAACTAACAATGATGCAGTGAGCTCGAATGACAGCTGGGTCCAAAATGTTCACCTCTGAACAGGGAGGCCAGGGCAATGGGATGTTGAGCCAAAGAGTAGGAGTGGGTCAGGGTCATAGTTATGGGCGGATAAGTACTAGATTTCAAAAGGAAACGAACTGCCCGGTTCGGGTCTGACCTGGCATACATACTCAATACAGTAGTACCTCTATATAGTACTTCTGTAGTTGGGTAGGTAGGCAGTCAGCATGCCACCACTGGTCTAGACTTCCACCCCGACGGTAAAGTGAACAGACATTACCTCTAGACACCTCGTTTCATGATAAGAGGCTGGGCCTTATGACCCCACTTTGCTGGGCTGCCTGAGCACAGTGTCGACCTACCTCTACTTGTACATCTCTGCCCTGAACACCACTGCATCTTCACTGTCATCAGATCGGATGCCTCTCGAAGCTCCTGCGTTTCCCTTGCTTCAACTCGCGCTGAAGGTGCGCTCTAGACTATAACTCTAGGTCACCTTCTCCCCATCTACCTACGGGTTTTCACGGCCCAAGCCTGCGATCCTTTAAATGGGTCATGCTGTGCTTAGACGAAGTTCGAGTGAGCGCGCGGCCAGATGCACCAACATACCATGTCTTGAGCTTGTTTCAATACGACAACCACTCTCCCTGACTTGCTGCTTGCTATTTTTCTTCTTCATGTTTCAAGTGCTGTGGCTTCAGCTACCATGGGCCAAGTACTGTCAGAAGAGGAGAAACCGGCTCCCTTATCCCACGAGGAGTTGGTCAAGGAACTGGTGAGTGTTGTTGTTCAGTATCGCTGAACCGCCGACCGCCCATTATGTCGCTGAACTATGCTAATATGCCCGCAGGCCAACATATTTGCGGACAAGTGCTTCACATCTCTCGAATTATATTCGCTGAAGCAGGTCTTTAAGAGCCTGGCCCACCATGAGCAGCGTGTGGGCTATCTCAAAGAGGGCACCATTGCGACATATCTCAACGTCCCCGACATCCTCGGCGTCTCTCCCGTGCTCTTCCGGATGGTAACCTACATTGCTGCCTTCCCTTTCTTGGAAGATGCCCCGGCCTTCTTGGGCTTGCAGCAGATGGTCATAGTGATCACTCTCATGACAGATAGATACCGGCGCGTGTTGAGCAAGGATGCTGCTGATAAAACTAAGTTGTTGTTCAAGAGCCTGGCAGTTTACGACCGCAAACTTTCGAGACCGGCTGCCGATATGCTCAGTGGCTTGACAAACGCGAGAGAGCAAGCGGGAAACGATAGGCAAGCGCTTGACAATGACGAACTGGTACTCGCTGCGTTCGATGCTTTGGGCCATGTCATTCCTGATAAACAGCAGAATATGCTTGCCACTCATGAGGCTATGATACCGGGGGATAATTTTCGGAAGTTCATCATGCTCCTCCTTCTTGTCGCACCACTGGATCCTCAGGGACGTCTGGACTCCGATCCCAATCGAGTGACCGGGGCTGGGCTACAATGCTTGAGGACAGCAGCTGAGTCAATTCTGGCGGCCTTTCTAGACGTGGAACAGAAACCAGGCGTCGAATATCTCCGCTTCAGCAAGGTCATAGCCAGTTGCCTACCCTTTCTTTTCAGAGGCCTCACTCCCCTTTTTGAATATTTTCTCTTTTCCGAGGAACTCGACTTCCACAAAGGCAAGAAGGGTACATCCAGGTCCCCAACTATGTTTCCCAAGCCAGAGCAACCGATATTGCAAGACACTGGATCCATTATGAACGCAAGTATCCTATCACAAATGTCCTTCTTTCTCCCTGGTAATCTGCTCTTCCGACGCCTACGCCTCTTATACGCAGGTGACGAGGATGGATTCAGCATGGGCAGTTTCGAGGCCAAAGTATTCAAGTGGAAGGCGCCGACAATTCTGCTTGTTTGCGGAACGCGCTTGCGGGACGATTCTGACCATCACAGCAACGGATCAGCGCCGGCTTTCTGGGCTTCTTTGCCCCCGAGACGTTTTCCCCGTGGCAGCTCGGGCGAAGCCGAGCGACTCACCTTTGGGGTCTATGTCCCCGAGCCCTGGAAACTCACTCATCGGGAGTGCTTTGGTGGAGAGGACACGATCTTATTCCAGCTCGAACCGATACATGACCTCTTTCGGGCATCGTCCCTAAACAAGGATTACATCTCGTTCGCCAGGCCCTCGGCATCGCTCAGCCATGCCGGGGTGTCTTTTGGTTGTCCACCGCCCAGGCCCAGCCAAGCATATCGCCGCTCAAGCATAATCGCACTTGGGCCCGTGTCTTTGATGTTGGATAGCAGCTTCGAGTTTGGCTGCTTCACCCACGATTATGCTTCAAAGGGAGGGGCATTCCATACGAGCATGATCAGAGAATATGATTTCCAAGAGCGTTTTGAAATTGGAAGTGTGGAGGTTTGGGGCTGCGGCGGGGATGAGGAAGCGAAGGACCAAGCAGAGAGATGGGCGTGGGAAGCAAGAGAAGCTGAAGCCAGAAGGAGGATCAACCTGGGCACAGGCGACATCGAAGCTGACAGAGCATTGCTCGAGATGGCCGGGCTTGTAGGGAGCAACAGGAATGGCGGTAGCATGGCATAACAGTAACAGTTTGCCATAGGGAGCTTCATTCGCCAAAGAGCGGATGTGAGGTTCTTCTACCGGATAACAAAATTAATATCAACGAGACATTGAGAGACTGGCTGACCGGAACGTTTATGGCCTCATGATCTGACTGCCTTTACGGGTGCAAGCCATGTCCCCGACTTCTCCATATTATATCGTACATCATTCACGTATACTTACATACCTGAGTGGGCTACCTTCAATCACGTTATGTATTCGGCCTAGTTCTTATCCCGCGACGACCCATCGGCTCCTTTGGAGCCCCCAAGCCAAGTGGGTAGTCGCTCGCGAACACCTGTGATGTTGGACTTGTTGGGATCCTCGGGCGCTACGTCTCCGGCCGGACTGCTGGCCTTCTCCTTGGCATCAGCATAGGCGGCCTGGGCTTGGGCGGCAACGCCATCCGGAGCGCCAGCAGCCGAGTCGCGCTCTGCCTTCTTCTTCTTCCTCTTCTCGAGTCTCTCCTGCAGAGCCTTGTCCTCGGCATCGCGAACCTCGAGCTCCCGAATCCACTTCTGGCGCTTCTCTTCGGCGTCCTGCTGCTCCTTCAGCTTCCACAGCTCCTTCTGCTTCTGGCGATCAGCAGCGTAATACCAGCTGCCGGCAACCATGGCGATAACGGTAAAAGCCTGGGCAGCAACACGGGCGCGGAACATGCGCTGAACTTGTTCGTGATCACCGCGGCGCATGGCGCGGTAGGCGCCCGTGAAGGCGGCGACGGTGGCGATACAACCGATGGGGATCAAAGGCTCCTCGCGGAGACGGCGGGACACCTTTTGGAAGCCATTCTCGTTGTAAAAGTCCCTGTTTGGGGGCAAAGACAGTGAGGCCTCGTCAGTATAGGGCGCATGCGGCCTGCAGTCGCGAGGGAATCCAGCGCCCGGAAGGGCAACGAAGGGTGGCTTGACTTACGCGTTGTCGTCAAAGGAGGAGGGAAGAGGCCTAGAGGAGAGGCCCGGTGGGGCCGAGCCTTGGTTGTCTGTAGAATTGGGCATGTCTATACTATGCCTGGCAATAGGGCTCTGGGAAGCTGAGATAAGGCAGATTGGCGGGCGATTTGGAGCCTCGTGTTGACTGTCGAGACAGGTGGAACTGGGTTCTCGGTGATGAAACAACGGCGACGGAGACGGAGACGGGCGATAGCGATGGCGATGCGCCTGCTACATGAAGGGCGGAAAAGGTCGAGCTACCCCACAACTCTCGCCGGGGCTCGGCCCCGCAACGTCAGGACGGTCCAGGTACCGTGGATACCTCTGGTGTACATGTGCACTATCACTTACATACACCGTGGGTCCCCTCGCGCAACATGCACAGCGGTTCATCGCCACAGAGCGGCAGCATTTTAGAAACATGGATGCATTGTTCGTTGCCCGCCAAGCAAATTCTACCTCTACTCCCGCTCGCGCGGGCCCCCTCGTGGTTGACCCCGTCATGCCTGTCAAGCCAGGTACACATTGGGTGGCGCAGATAGACCAGTCCTGGCAGCGGCCCTGACTTGGGATTTCAAATAACATGACCTCCCTCAAAGGCCATCTTTTCCCAATGGTGAGGCAATAACGCGACCCTGGCCCCGTTCTCAGTTCAAGTATCTTCGGGTAGCTGTTGTCCGCTCCGGTTAAATCTACTGTATGGCTTGGTTAAATCTACGGTCCCCACCCACCTCACGTGCCCAAAACCCCTGCCGTCAGGCTCAGCTATATCGGCCACACTGTAATTTGGCGGGCAGTAACATCGATTGACTTTGTTACTAACAATCTGCACCATCACACTGTAATTAAATATCGCATATCGCCAACGTAAGTTATAGTAGTGAGGGTCGTGCATACTAACCAATTGTTTATCCTATACTAATTCTGGTGTAGATGTCTATTATTATTGACCTTACCAGCTCCCAGCTAAAGGAGGCCCGCGCG